CACAAGTCCGATACTCCAACAGCGATAACCGGGAAACCTCTAGTGTTGAGTTTAAAAGTTGCATCAGGATGGGTCATGTAGCTATTGGCATATTGAAGTCGCCGAATAGACGTTTTTGTCGCAAACCCGACTACTAGCGGGCTTTCGTCGGATCCCTTTCCCAATTTGGGTTCGCCGATAGAGCCTACAGCATACCCGAAAGCAAAGGCTACGTTGTCGCCAAGGCCACTTGAGTACCGATTTTTCTGAATTAGAGCCTCCATTTCATCAACATAGTCGTTGTCGTTCAGGATGTTTTTACGGTGATTCCGAACTCGCGTTTGAACACGAGGTAGCAATTCTCTCGGATCTGCTGACTCCAGTTTGAAGTGAAGCACCATCTCGTTCATTACGCGAGATGGTTTTTCACCCGCTGAAGCTCGCTCTCGAATAAATCTTTGCATACCAAGACTAATTCCAGACGTCTTGGGTGATGATATAGTGCTCAAGTGGACTCCACTCTGAAAAATATTGCTTTTGAGGGTTTCTTGGCAAAACAGCACTTTGACAAACCAGTTGCAACTCTGGAGGCTACTTGCGCTCTCCGAACACGAAGTCGAATTGCACTTGTAGATTATATAGCGCATATTGTGTTGATTCCCATTCGGCGAGCACACCTGGCATCTCTCGAGTTGATTCTTGACTTTCAACCTTCTCTTCTGTATATCGATAAAATCCTCCATGTCTGCCTCAGTCGAGCAGGAGCGAAAGAACTTCCAAGTGTAGTTAGGCATGCTGATTCTTGAGATGAAGGTGTCTCTGTGGGGCTGTTATGGTTTGGTGAATGAACGTCTATATCCGGACTAAACTACTAACTTAGAATTTGAGCACGAGACTATTTCAGCTGGCCAATCCGCTTGCAGACGGAATAGCGCGTGGAAGTCACCACCAATCATGGCAGTTGTGTCTGTACTTTCAACCGACAGCTTTGTAAAACTACTTCATCCGTCTGTAAGCACGTCCTCAATTCTGTAGATTTCACACGGTCTCTGTAATTCTAGCCATTTGTCTGTACATATGCAAACTTCTCCTGTAGATTTGATCCTCGCTCAGGCAGCTCTCTGCCTGCACTATCCAGATCACAGCTGTGATCTGAACTTCCTCTCGTACTTGCTAATCAGAATTAATACAACTTAGAGAGGTTTCAGTTGTTATTTTAACTCTCTGGCAGACAGGACTCCCTGTCTGCCTTTTAGCGAGAGGCGCGCTCAGCGCGCCCTTGCCACTCAACAATACGTTTCTTTTCACTGGCATGCCAACATCACTTTAAGAAAAAGGCTATATATGAATCGACAAAAAGCGCCTCAACTCGAATCCCTACTTACATCATACTGAAATAAATATAAGAGAAATCTGGCACGTGCGTTAAGTTGGTTAATGTTGTTGGCAAAAGCTCATTCTCTCTCTTGATCAATATTGCTGGTAAAAAAAATATTGGACACCACAAAGTACTATTTCAGAATGGTCCCCAACTCTACGGACCTGTTCTGCTTCTTATTGACCCTGCGAAATCGCTAAAGTTGAAATCGATCTGAGGGCAGCTCAATCAATGATTGCTATTATCCGGATACGTCAGCCGATAATCTACTACATTTTCTCCCGCACCCACTCTGCGATGTAGTTGTCGTGTGGTTTCGCATCGCCAGGCAGTATAGATTCCTCTACAAAGTCAGAAGTGATCCAACTTTGACCGAAATGCCAGACCAGAAGCAGCACTACATCAAATTTGTTGGGTGCATCCTCAGCCATTTCCACCGATTCCAGCTTTAGACCGGGATAGTGAACTAGCAGCCAGCATATAGTTCCCAAATGACCCGAATATACAGCGTACTTGAGTATCCAATTCGTACACCAGTCCGCTCGGTTCTCATGGAGCCATTTTAGCATATTCAGGTCTCCTTTTTTAGCAGGACCATCCATGATACTGGCAGAACACCCCTCTGACCTGTTAATTTGAAGATACTGAAGTATAGACATGTGCCCATTGGACGCTGCTGCATCCATCGCCACTGTAGTGCACCCTTCATCACGGTTTTCCTGCAACCACTGCACTACGTGAAGATGGCCATACGTCGCTGCACCATCCATCGCATTAGCTGTACAGCCCTCCTTCCGGTGCATATGCAGCCACTGTATCACAGCAAGATGGCCATGGGCAGCAGCAAGATCTATCGCATGGCTTTTAGCCCAGAGTTTGTTGACCTGAATTGTTAATCGGCTTTCAGGGGCATCCTCATCCATAGTCATAACAGTGCTGAGTCCGTGGAAAAACTGTAAAATCTCCAAGCGGCCATATTTTGCCGCTTCATCGATCACATTGGATTCCTCGTCGCTCGGAGGATATAATTTGCGTTCAAGAAGCCATTTGACGGTCTCCAACTTTCCATTACTTACGGCGCCTACCCAAATGCTAACGTCTTTGAAAGCATTAGGTATTCCAAGATTGTAAACGTACTGCAACAATTCGATGTGACCCTTTCGAGCTGCCAGCCAGGTTAGGTCAGCTAAAACTTTGCAATAACAATTACAAATCAAATACCCCATTCGGTGCTCAACTAGACAGCGGATGGTCGGGAAGTTGCACCGCATAAACGCAATTTTCAACGCAAAACCCCAGCATCTGATCCAAATGGAGCTATCGATCGGAAGCTCAGGAACCAACTGTATCACTTTCTGTAAGAGCTCCAAGTTTCCTACTTCAGCAAGACTTTGTATGGCACTCACTGTGTGGGTCTCACTGCGTCGTAGGTATCCACAGTCAAACATCCACTCAATCATGTATACATTCTTCCCAGGACAAGCGTAGTCCAAGAGGCAGCCACCACGTGGCATCAAAAACTGCGCAAGATCCATATCGCCGATATCCAGGGCCATAGCAATGAGATTGTGAACGTGAACACCACCACCAATGTTCTTGTGCATCCACCTGACAACTTCTGAGTGTCCGTTCTCCATCGCGGTTACGATACTGTACCCCCAGTCAACCATCCCAGCCTCGATTTGGTAGGCAAGAAAGATTTTTAACACGTCCAGATGGCCCTTTGCAACTACGGCGTCAACGATATATTCACTTATTTGAGATCCATTATTGTGTTCTAGAAGCCACTCCACGACTGTCACATCATTTCTTGTACCGGCAACTTCCAGTGCCTCTGCAAACTGCCACTGCGCATAGTGCGTATCTGAGCATAAATAGTTGCATAAGGTCCAAGACGAACTTCTATCCTCGGCACTAGTGCAACTGGACTCCCAGATCCAGTCGAGCAAATCTATCGACCCATAGGAACACGCTTCTGCTAAGGGCAAATTAGGTGGGGGTCCCAGGAAACTCGAAATGATTCCACCAGTGTGCTGTAGAGCATCGTTGTGGCGCAGGACGACCTCGACGCACTGCAATACCACCGATCGGGGCTCTCTAAGAGAGTCTCTTCGCTGGAGGAGCGGGGACATTGCTCGGGTGAAGCAAATTTATTCGTTTGGTATTATCCAATCAGCAGGTGTTCTTTTAAAATAAAACACTTGTGATATTTTCAATACTTTTATATACCGTAAAAGGCGTATACAGTAGACCATGAGAGTATAGGAAGCACAATACACGAGCCAATGACTAAGTGGCCCTTCGGCACCTCTTTAAGGGGGATGCAGAGTCAAGTTGAAGGTGAGGCAGAACGCTAAAAAGTGATCATAAATTGGTCCTTTGCCGACAATAAAAACAACACTAAGCGTAATTTTCCACTAAAGAGCTGTACACCGAACTCGCTACTTGTGTGACACTAGCAACAAAGTCAGCCGTGGTATCCACATAGGTTATACTTGCAGTTATTGAACTAACGTTACTCGACGCCCTGCAGCTCAATAGGCGAGATCAATCCATCCCAAGAGTCACACATTCACACGTCCATGCGAGCAATCAAACTTAAATAAGCTCGCGCATCATCTCTTTTTTCATTGGTCGCGTGCACGTCATGCATGCTAACGCAATATAGACTTGAAGTCATGCGAGTTCTACCTTGAACTGAATATTAAAGGATATGTAGTTACACGATTCCCGAAAGAGCTTGAAAGTACCTTCAAGGTACCTCGATAAACAAGGTTATCTGTTTATACGGGTATTGTATATCTCTTCGACTACGTACGGTTGAAGTTGTTCTGGATAACTGGTCATTGCCCACCTGGAGGCATTCCTCAATCTTCTACGAGAACGAGAGCAACCCCAGCGATGTATTCTTCGCTGCTGAGCGTTGAATTGATTCTGAGCCACCAAGAAAACTCTGCAGCATTGCAGGATCTGGGCCCCACTATCTCTGATTTCCTGGGCCCGGACAGCAACCTCTCGCTGCACGACGCTTGCAAGATCGGATCCCTGAAGCTGCTGAACTGGATCTGGCGCGTTAGCTTCAGTGACATTAGCTCCAGGTCTTCCAGTTGGTCGCCCACCTGCTTTTTGCAGTCCAATCGCCATTACTATCGATGGCAATTCTCCGAGTCATTGGAGATCGCTGCAGGTCAAGGCGATTTGACGGTTGTCAAGTGGCTCCTTGAGCGCTTTAAGGACTGCGAAGTGGCCGTAGAAGTGGTGGAAGCTGCAGCCAAGAACGGACATTTGGAGATACTGCTGATTTTATTGGAGACTGATGTGGAGAGGATGAAGACTGGACACAAAGTGCATTGGGGTGGGCACAGCCTTAGCAATGCTGTCGAGAATGGTCACTCAGATGTTGTTCATTGGTTGTGCCAATACAAAATATCTGAGTTCGGTGAAGCTCAGATCACAAATGCCATCACGACCGCTCTACGTGTGGGGAATACGAAGCTGGCCGAGTTTCTGCTCCCTCCGGGCAAGTGCATTCTGGACTATGGCCAATACTGTCCACATCCGGATATTATCCAATGGAAGTTGGACTGTGGATATTTCCGACAAGATTTTTTCAGCGCTGGAGTTGCCATCAAGAATCTGGTTCATTCGGAACGCTTGGATTTAATGCAGCGGATTGCAGAACAGCAAAACCCACCTCCGGACGACGCGGAGTGGACTACTGACTGGCGTTGCGCTATGGTCCTCGCTTGTGTGTACGGCAATCGTGATATTCTCCAATGGTTGATGGAGCACCCGGCTGGTCGATGGACGCTCGAAGGAGACGATAGACTGTACTCTGAGCTCGTATTCAGCGCAGCATACAAAGGGAGCATCCAGGTCATGGAATATCTATTCGAACTAGGAGCTGTCGATAAAATCTGTGATGCTCTACTGCACGCAATCCGAGAGGATCACATCGACTTAGTCAAGTGGCTGATCGACCATATTCCCGATTCGGAACGCATTCCGGACTATTGCGTACTGGATGAAGCTGCAAGGTACGGACGCTTGGAGATGCTCCAGTATTTCCAAGAGCAGGATGTGTCGGTCGTTCCTGAATTCTCTCATTCCGTAAGACGAGTTCGGAGTTCCAGTAGAGAGAAACACATGACGCAAATGTTCGTGCCTGCTTCGGATAATTATCTGAAAGTGCACGCAACGTTGTGTAGATACCGCTCCCAGTGGCTTCCAACTGATCCCATGGACGACGCAGCAGCTAATGGCCATCTCGAAGTGGTGAAATGGCTGCATGTTCATCGGTCAGAAGGCTGCACACCTGCTGCGATGGACTGTGCTGCTGCTAATGGCCACTTAGAGGTAGTAAAATGGCTTCATAACCATCGACTGGAGGGATGCACTAGCAAGGCAATGGACGGAGCCGCTGAGAACGGACACCTTGATGTGATCTGGTGGTTGTATGTGAACCACTTCGAGGGTTGCACACAGAAAGCGATTGAAGGAGCGTTGAGCAATGGGCACTTACGTGTATCTGCATGGCTGCTCTCGCACTTACCGTTTGGAAGGCCTTTAAGCGTGGAACTGTGGCGACGTCCGGACAACCTGTTTGAGGTGCTACTGTTCCTGTATCGCCATTTCAGCAACTCCCTCAGTCTCAGCCTGGTCGAGTACCCAAAGGGGATTCTGCTGGACTCCAGCTCCAAGTCGAGCCATAAACATATCGTAGCCTGGCTGCAAGTAGAATTCCCAGTCGTGTTTGCGGGCGTGGACGAAGAATGGTAAATTTTGTTGATAAAACATGTAGCACGATTAACATTTATTGCTAGAGTATATATATGTTTAATTAAACAGTTAAACCTGATCTTCAGCTTAATACATCAACTATCGACGAAAGACGCAAACAGCAAACTCGTCATCCTCCCGTGCCTCTAGCAGTTAGGACATACACCACGGAATACAACGCCTGCATCCAGGCTTTGACATGCGCAACATTATGCTCCCCGTTAACACCAAGAATGGTCTCTTTTCAGCGAAAAGTTTTCACTTTCGTCGTTGAAAGTGTGAAGGTATTCCACGTGCAGAAACAACACCCTTCAAACTGGTTTGTTGGTTTGATGACCATACCCGGCCGCGAAGGAACAAACGCTGGATAAATGCCAAGGAGCCAGATGACAACTCTCAAGTGACTGTTCTCTGCGGCGTCAATCATCGCTTTGACCGTGCATCCCTCCGACCGATTGGCATTCAACAACTTGATCATCTCGAGATGACCATTTTGCGCTGCTCCATTCATAGCATCCACACTACAACTTTCAGAGCAATGAACGTGCAGCCATTGGACCACTTCCAAGGGGTGCGTATTTTGAACTAGTTATTTTTCAATTTTGCACTGGTCACTTCGCGACGTACTGTCTGAGTTAGTCACTTTTTGAGTCTCTAGCTATGACTACCTCGCACAGCTAAAGTAACTTTTTGGACAGCCAAATCATTGCTACGTTTGACAACCGTTTACAAGTGACTAGCTGGCACTCGAAAAGTGACTAGCTTGAAATTCAAACGGAGCGTTCCAGTGCTTTGTAGCGCTGGTCACTTTTAGATCCTAAACAGGCGTCGGTAAAAAATAGTTATTCAAAAAATGTATTCAAATTTTTAAAATTTGTTATTAATTGGACACGTGCAATTCATTATTCCATTCTGATCAATTCAAATTTGAATTGTATTCTTGCTTTTGCCTAGCTGCCACCCTTTTTGTGCAGTTCAATACTCGCACAATCACTGAAGTCAGCCAAGTTGCTCAATCTCATTCTGCAATTTGCACAGCCTTCACCCAACCCCAACCTTCCCAGCCCCCTTCTCCCTACGACCATGCCTCTCGCCAACCGTGTGATCTGCTCGCTCCTGTTCCGTCCTTCCGGTCAGGGCGAGTACGTGTGCAACTCCTGCAGCCGCCAGTACCGCAGCGCGCACGGGTTTACAAACCTGATGAAACACCTGCGGCGATTCCACCCAGGCTTCAAGGCCGAGACGGTGCTGCGCAACAAATATGCCCTTCAGATGCATGTTGTGATGCACGGATGTCTGACATCTACCGCTGGGTAGAGTGGGTTGTGGAGGAGCGCTTGAGAGTGTCTCCCTGCACAGTCTTTAAAAAGGGCATTTGAGGGGTCACAAATCTATTCGATATCTGCCGATGTGCAGTAACCCGACCCCGGATACAGACCATCACTCTCAGTGTTTAAACATGGTTCCCCCCTCCCCAGTCAAAATCAGCGGCCCACAAAGCAGCACCTGGAGCCGAAAGCAGCGTTGCCCTACTGGAACGAGTACCGCACCGTGATGCCTCGCCACCACCGCGACGATAGCGAAGAAGACGTTGCAAGCCTCTCGTCAAGCTCTAGCGACAGGGAAGTCCGCAACAATGCAGCTCCGACGAACTCGCGCAGCAAGAAGAAGAAGAGAGTGAGAAGGCGTTCTTCCGTCCGCGAACGCGGCAAGAAATCCAAACGAAGAAAGCACTCTCATCGTCGCTTCTCCTCGCGTCACCACAGCTCTAGTAGCCGGCGAAGGACAGATTTTTCGGAAGCACTAGATTCCTCGGCTGAATATCAGCACGGTGGGGACTCCTGTTCTTCTTACACACCCGAATCGGGGGCGAGCAGTCACATTTCTTCCGAGTCAGAAGAAGAAGAACGCGGCGGAGGTGATGTCGCTCCTCTGGACACCTTAGTGCATGTTCCTGAGTTGAATGTGACAGCCTTTGACAGTTGGGATGCGTTGGAGTCATATCTGAAGGCGTACAGCAAGAGAACCTACCAGGTTTGTATTAATTGCTTAGAGTGTTTTACAATCCTAGACTGTGACACCCTCCTGATTTACATTGGTCTGAGGGATACAGCTGATTTTAACGTTTGCCCTCGTGCAGGTTTACTCCATTAGGACTAACACTCCCGTCCGCACGAGAAACGCCAGAATGAAAAGGACAATGTCTACTGCCAAGCCGATTCCGGAGGAGTATAAGTTTTACAACAAAACTTACGTATGCACGCATTATGGGGAACCACGGCACACCCGAGGGTTAGGAAAGCGTCCGAACCAGCACTCCAGGAGAATTGGCTGCAAAGCCCAGGTGAGAATACACTTGAAATCACTTTGCGCTAGGCTTTACTTTACATAGCGAAACTAACCTGAGCCACGTCTAGATCAACGCCTGTGTGCACTTTGGTGCTGACTGGGAAATCGTTATCACGAAGCAGAACACTGGGCACAACCACGACGTCGGAAGGGAGCTGTATCATAACTACCACGAAGCTCGGCAAGTTAGTGACACAGCCGTTCTTGATACAGTGCGGACGCTACATCGAGCTGGGGCAAACCGGAAACGGATACTGGAATACGTTATGGAGAATACAAACGTGGAACCTACCATGAAGGATATCCACAACCTGGTCGAGCGTCTGAAAAAGGAAAGCTACACATTTCCTACTGTGGAAGAACGCATACGGGCAATACTGGAGGATTTTGCGTCGCAGAAGGGTAACTTGACGCGAGTGTACGCAAACGCAGAGGTATGATTCAGTATTGCGCTTCGTTAGTACTGTTATCTCAATCGTAACTACCAATTTTGGATTGTATGTCCAGAACATTGTCGAGTGCATCAGCATCCAGTCAGCTCACATGAGGTCAATGTTCGAGCATTTCCCGGAGATTCTCCTGATAGATGCGACGCACGATACCAACGCGTCGAACTACAAACTCTTCAGTTTCATGATCCATGACACCTTGAGCAAAGGTCAACACGTACAGGTCCGTCTCACGAAATATTCTCTAACTAGTACACAATTTGAGACTGTGGTACAAACTGACTTGTAAAATTTGTGACGTATTGGGTGATGTGTACTGTAGCATTGCCTTATCGAGAACGAGCGGAAAGAAACGCTACGCTTAGCGTGCAAGCAGTTCAAAGAAGGTTGTCCTTCTTTTGACTCCATTGCGGTGATAATATGGATTTCACCGAACTGGCAGTTCTGAAAGAGGAGTTTCCAGGTGTGAGGATCTTACTGTGCCACTTTCATGTGGTTAAGTATCTCCAAGAAGAGACTGCAAAGGAAAAGTACAATCTGGATGCTTGGACGAAGAAGGAGATGAAGCGTTTGGTTCAGCTTTTGGTTGGGGCTCCGACTGAAGTGATATATGACAACGTGATCGCCTCGATGAAGGTGGTACTACGTGCAGATACCAAAGTTAAGCTTTGGTTTGACTATTTCGATGAAAACTGGACGACTTGCAAGGAAATGTGGAGCTCTGTGTATCGCGGCAATGTCCCTCACATGGGGAACCAGACGAATAACAGCTTTGTTTCGGATCCGATCATTTTTTAGTGTTGTACTAAATACTGAATATTATAGGCTTGAGTCGAGTTGGCAAAAACTGAAGTGTCTGGTGAATCGCTCGTCTACATTGGATGACTGCGTGGTCTCGATACTGTTTTGGCAGACAGTGAACGAAAAGATGTGGTCGCGCAGTGTCAAGCGCGTAGGTGTTTACGTCAATGTGGAGTACGATGACGAAATGAACCAGCTATTGAATACCGTGTGACGGCATGCTGTCGAGCTGATAAAACAGCAATACGACTTTGCTGTTAACTCTACCACAGAGTACCGATATTATCTGGTGGGGTCGTACGTGATGATGCATTACACGGAGGGTGGAGACGATGCTGACTTGCCGGATGAGTACATGCTTAACCCAGAAGCCTGGACGTGCTCGTGCATGTTTCGAGTCACGAGGCTCCTACCTTGTCGCCACATCATATATTATCGTAAGGTCACGGGTTGTTCTACATTGGTTCCGGAAGAAATTATTCATAGGCGGTGGCTGTTAAAGAATTACAGGAAGTTGGGCCAAGTAAATTTTGCTGAAAACACGGTTGTAGAAGCGTACGAGGACAGAGCGGTTCCACTTCCACTCACTACTCGCACGAAGACGCAGAACGAGAAGTTCAAGGAGCTGTTTTCAATTGGACGGCAATTGCTGATGTCGGTGCTTACCGTGGAACCAAGGCTCATACGGCATTATCTGCATCACTTAAAAGGTTTCTTCAAGTTGCTCAAACCGGTAGCTGCCCTATCGTGGTCCGTCACGTGGAGACAGACCGTCAATCAGAGAGAACACAGACCGAAACAGCAAACCAGTCAGAAATGGGGACCCAGTCTAGTACTGGATCATTACCTGAGGCGACACAAGTGGCTGGTACAGCGGAGGAAAGCGTCGAGGGTCTCGCTGTCCCACCCGCAACTGAGCAAAACGAAAGGGATACTTTGGAACGAGACACTGTACCTGACGACACACACTTCGAGGTTGCACAGGGCGTTAGAGAACCCAACGAGCAGCCAGTGTCGAGTTCAGTGGTTTTATCGAAGCCTGTGGTTCTGTCTGGGAGTGTGCTAAATTCTGAAAATGTGACACAGTCTCAGTCTGGATACGAGTATGAATCTTCAAGCGACGACAACTTTGCGAACGCGGAGAAGGTGCAACCGAGCCGACCTAGATGGATGGTCTCCAAGTGTACTAAGAAGGCGGGACGAGTGAAAGTTACGGTTGCTTCTCGCAAGACGGCTCTAAATACCAGTTTGAAACAAACTTCACTGATGGTGCAAGCTGTAGGTTTGGGTTTGGAGCCATCCGTCGGTTTCTTAGTGGAGGCCGTTCAAAGTGGCGTCACCTACAAACATGCAGTCGCGCTTCGTGCACTGACGATTCTTCAACAATACAGAAAAGCAAAGACCACCGTGTTTGAGCGTCGTAACAAGCCCGAGACAAACCCCTATACGTTAAGGACGGTGCTGCCTCTACGGAGAATCGAAACCTGCGAAGCACAAGTCGCTCAGTTCCAAAACCGATGGTACAGCGACCATGAAACCAGAATGCCACAGACAGGAGTAACTGTGCAGACAGGTGGGGTCGTGTATAACGTGAGCATGCTGAAGGCAATGAGATCTTGGCACACGGCCATATCTCGGTTTATCGGTATTGAGAGTGCATTGAAATGGGTGGAGAAGTATGACGATACTGCGTGGACTACCGACGACTCAATTAGGACCGAAGGGGTGGCAAACAAAGCGACCCTCTTCGATTTCCTGAAACAGGTCGATGTTCTCGGGATACCTACGATGCTACAGGGCTTTGCGGACAAACCCCACTTGAAAGCTCGAGCATGGACCTCGGTATGAAAGCAATTATACAGCGACACAGCGAAGAAGCCACGATGTTCACAGTCCCCTCAGAGATCCTTCGTTACCCGCGATATGATACCAAGGCAATTCAAGATCACCCTGTTTGGAGCAAGCTTAAAATGGCGGCGGCGAGTATGGATTTATCGAGAGACTCAAGCGTCAATTTGTTTTTCTTTGGAGTTATCCATTACGACTGGAATCATTGGTGCGCTGTTGGTGTAAACTTCAAGACGAGTGAAGTTGTTATCTACGATCCACAAAACACTGGCGATAGATTCGACGCAATTAAAGGTTTTCTCAAGACGCAGGTGCTTCCACTTTTGCCGGCTCCGGAGTCGCCAAAGCGATTTCGGTTTACACGAATTGACCTGGCGCCCCAACTCGACGACTACAATTGTGGAGTGTTTGTGCTCCTTTTCATCGAGCTTCAGTTGTATGGAGTGCAAGTGACTGGCTTGGATAGTGAAATTCGTAGCAGAGAGGCGATGGAGTTCTTCCACTATCGATACCTGAGTCTTATCTTAGCGTCAATGTGAGATTTTTTTACGTTAAAAAAGTTTGAGCAATATCTACTTAACGTTGGAGGTACTACGTATGAACATTGGAGAGTATTAAAAATACCATGTATATGCTATATATGGTAACCAGAGAGCGATGCTGCTCGAGTGTTTTTTAAAAATTCGAAGTATTGCAACAATCTGTCACTACTCACTGACAAACACTCCTGTTTTGCCGCTACGCTCTTGTGCGAAATACGCACGTACTTTGTTCGCTGACGTATCCGACTATCCAGTCATACGGAGCTGTCACCTGAGCGTACAGCACATAATATGTCCAGGACGGTGCATTGGCTACACAGTCCAACTTCGAGACGGTGCACGTAGCCTCTGTCAGGAGCGCTTGCCCTTTACGTTTTGCGAGCGCCGTCTCGTCCGCCAGAATGCCAAGATGGGCAGCATCTCCGCCAAGACGCTGGCAGCCTATGTGACCAAGCTGCACGAGCACGTGCAAGGCCGCGTTCGCTGAGCTCCCGGACAAGTTTGCGCTGGTTATGGACGGACGGACAAGCGCAAGGCGGCACTGCGTCGCTATTTTTGCGGTCGTTGATGACACTTCTGTTAGTGGTCCCACTCCTGTCACCGGGGAGGACTACTTTGACGATCTGGACTGTCTGTCGCGCCGGTTTCTACTCCTAGCATTTTTGCTAGTAGACGAGGAAGAAGATCTCAGCGCACAAAGTTTATTTGACCTAATTGCCGATACTCTGTCCGTTTATGAGAGACCTTGGGATGCGGTACTCTGGGTGACCGGAGACAACTGTTCTGTAAATCAGTACATTGGACGACGTGAAGGAGCCATCCCCTTCATTGGTTGTGCTAGTCACAGGTTCAACTTGGTAATGAAGGATATGTTGGCCCCTGAGGAGACTGTGCTGAGCCAGGTTCATTCGCTCATGAAAGCGCTGTCCAAGTTGAAGTACCGCGCAAAAAAAAACGCATCTCGGCCCTGTCACGCGGAACGATACGCGCTGGTCAAGTTCCTATGAAATGGTCAATCGTTACTGCCGGTTAGAGCCAGTCCTACGATCTCTCGACCACGGAACTATTGCCGAGTACGCGCTCGACGAGCTTATGTTGACGCGCGGTGAAAACGAGAGAGTTTTCGCCCTCCGCGACACTATGGAGAAGATGGAAGGCGTGACACAAGCTCTACAACACAGTACTCTCACGCTGTCAGGTACCAGGCGATTGTTTGATCGTGTTGTTGCGGAGTTTCCCCAGCTTCGTAGTCGCCTGGCACCGACAGCCGCCATCGTCAACAACACACCACTAGAATCGGTTCTCGTTAAGCTTCAACACCAAGAGCAGCTAACTGCTGCTGAGCGTTCAGCATGTACCCTGTTCCGCCTCTCCGACTCCAGTGACATCGGCGTTAATCGCAAACGATGGGATGTGCACTCTGTTGAAGATGTTCGCAGAGAAATGGAGAGCTAGAGAACTAAAATAGATGGACGGGATAAATGTAATAACGAATTTCGCTCTGTTGGTTTCTCTCATTAATATAAGAACTCTGTAGTACCGAACACTGATCCTAAACAACAGAAAGCGTTCTACCTACGCATTCGCTTCTCGTAGACAGAAGACTACACCCTAGTCCCCTAAACCCTTTCACCTTCAGCGCCAAACCTTAAGAACCACTCTACCTCCTCTAAAGGGGGCCCCTCACTTCGTTCGGTTGTCCCCATCGGCCGGCGGGAGTATGGAGTCGCAGTTTTGTGTGAAGTTGATTTTTTGTTTTTGGTATTCACTTAGGTTCGATTATGCATCCTAAAATTTCGTACCTAAGTGAAATGACTAGTCGACAATTAGAAAGTACAAGCCGAGTGAAGAGTGACTAGCTGACAATTATAAAGTAACTACTCCAAATTTATTTCCACTTCCAAGTGGCCATTTGTAGCTGCCTTATTCATCGCTCCTTATGAGCAGTCTTCGGTGCGGTTACTGTGCAGCCATTTGACTATTCCCAAGTAGCCATACTCAGCAGCTACATCCTGGTTGACCATGCCTCTGAGCCAATTTTTGTTTTGTTTTATGCCACTGAGATACTACAGGATCTCCTACTGTCCTTGCTTGGTAGTCATTTCAACGATACGACTGAAATTACCGAACGTGCAGCGCTCAGCAAGCCACTTGTCTGTATTCAATCGGGCTCCCATGGCTGCTCGAAACAAAGCCTCGTCGATTTGTTCTGCTAGGTACTGCAAGATGTGGGTATGGCCCTCTTGAGCAGCAACAGCGAACCTGTGTGCGTATTCCGCTCCATGGCCCATCATGAGTCTTTCAACCAAATCACGTCACGTACATGTAGGATGACCCACCAGCCATCGGACAATATCAAGGAAGCCATGTTTGCATGCACTAAGTGTAGCATTATATCTACGCTTCAACCGATTCTGGAAAAGTATACGTTAAGCATATTCTGGCGTCGATTGCGGGATGGACTGGATTAAACTCCAGAGGACTTTGTTGTAGCAGACGCGAGAAATTGTATTGGACGAGGAGTTTGCGTTTGTCAAGAGCCATCTCGAAGGTCCTCAGGACACTGAGGTTAACATGGCGGATAGGGAGAAGGTCGAAATGACAAGACATAGTACGTGTGTAACAACGGATGTAGTGAGTGCTTGAAAGTAAATTGAAAACTGAATTGAAAGTTAGTTTGCTCTATCATACTCTTTGCAGGTTTACTGACAGGAACTCTGTGGTATCATTTGACCAATTGTCGGATGACGTGGTCAAATAATTACCAGTCGTCGAATGACGTGTAACCAAATGACGAATAGTGTATGCATACACAAATTCGTCACACGACCTCCTTTTAAAAGAAGGGGGTTACTGCTTTAGCGAAGGACAGTTAGGGGCGATATGGCCCACAGCCTTGCATCGGTGGCAAGTGGCCGTCATCTCCCAGTCCGAAGAGGCTTGAGCCGGGCGTTGTAGCCCATGGTCGAAGCGTAGTGCCAGCTGAACGGTCTCTTCCAAAGTAGCTGGATGGTGTTCCCTAAGATGGTTGTTTGTCTCTTTACGGAGACCTTGTTGGAAATAGAACCGTAGTTCTAATGCTGAGATGGGCATTTGACATTGTATGAGAATGTCCTGAAAGGCGCCGATGTAGTCATGTAGCGTGGCCATCTGGGTCAACTTGCACAGCTTCTCACGGAGCATGTACTCGTTATCAGGGGGGAGGAAGTGCTTGTGAAGACCGTGCTTGAATGTGGACTACAAACGGACAATGTTTGCCCGTTCACAATCCGCTACGAACTGGCGATACCAGTTCGTAGGGGTAGGTGCCAGATGGCACGAAATCATCGTGACAAACGATGGTGATTCCTCCACCATCAGAGGATGGTAGTCAGCGTAGTATTGTTCGATCGTAAAGAACCACAGCTCGAGGTCCTCACTCAACGTTCCATGCTACTTGGGTGGCTCGGCTTTTCTAGCCGCTGGAGGCTTGGACGTGAGGGTCTCGAAGCGAGCATTTTGAGCAGCTATTTGCTCACTAATATGCTCTTGGAGGCGTGACTGCTGCTGCGAAAAAAACTGCAGCATTTCGCCGAAGGTTTGAGGGGTAGGGATACTGGATCCGTCCATGACGATGCATGAGAAAATCGAAGGTTTTGATCTTGACGCGAAGGTCTTGGACACCGCGAAGGCTTGGACAAAGTCGACAAGTGCTACTATGTAACACTACGGAGGTAGTGAGTGCTTGAAAGTAAATTGAGGACTGAATTGAAAGTTAGTTTGCTCTATCATACTCTTTGCAGGTTTACTGACAGGAACTCTGTGGTATCATTTGACCAATTGTCGGATGACGTGGTCAAATAATTACCAGTCGTCGAATGACGTGTAACCAAATGACGAATAGTGTATGCATACACAAATTCGTCACAACGTGCCACGTACTGGGGTGTGCATTGCATCAATCAAATAAGCTCAAAGCACAAGATACGTCGGACAGAGCGATGGAAGCCGAGACGGAGAGATATTCGCCACAGGCATATATACCAACACGTCACAAGCCTCGCCTAACGAAATGGATAGTCTTGTTCCTTTAAAAGTGGAGCTGCTAGAGCCCACACCAAATCGGGGGTTGAACCTTCTTGATGTGTATCGATGCTCGACGGCTCGCATTCAGGCGGCACGACCAGATTTGCACAGCGAGGATGTTACGGGGCTCAAATTTAAATTGTTTGAACACCAACGACGAGGGTTAAGCTGGATGAACAAGCGGGAACGTGATGTGCTATGGGATACTCTTTTGCTACACCCGTTCAGTGTCCCTGATATAGACTGCGAGAGCGATCGGATGAAGCGTGTTGTTGTCGATGAGGGTCATACGCTCGGCAGCGGGACAACCACACAACTTATGGAAATGACACGGCTATTATGTGCCGAACGACGCTGGGTTATGGCTGGGACGCCATCACCAAATACTTTTCGGTCGGCTGATCTCCAATATCTTCATGGAATTTTGACTTTCTTACGCGTCCAACCGTATGGGCAACCAGTTGTTCGAGCTTGGGCGAAGGCAATTGTTCGGCCTTTTCAAAAGGAAGAAGTTGCTGCGTTTATCGGCTTCTACACCTGCTCACCCGTGTTATGATAAGGCACACGAAAGAGTCACTGTAGCTTCCACGTGTAATTCGCCGTTTTGTTGAAGTTTACCCGACTCCAAGCGAATCCAAGCTCTACAACGCAATCGCAGAATATGTACGGGCACGTATGGTAGTATCAACCATAGATCTCCCAAGAAGTGCTACCAATCCAGGTACGCCGCCCGATATACATCCAGATAGCCTCTTGCACCCTCAGAATCACCGAGGTGTCAAACAAGTGAAAAGAGATCTTTCTATGGCTTGCATGGGTGGGTATGCGGTTGAGTAGACTTTGGATGAGAAACAGGTGAAGGCAACTATCGACAAACTGTGTGATAACCTTGCTGGCAACAGCGCGAAAGAACGACGGGTACACGACGTCACACAGTACTTAGCCGATATCTGTCTGAAGAAGACGAATCAATGCAAACGGTGTCTGACCAATCGACGCTTCCTGATGATTCTGCCCTGTGGACACCTATATTGTGCGCTATGTGTTGAAGAAATTAAGATGAAGTAGGATAAACCGCAATGCGAGTCATGCAATGAGTCGTTCAACAAGGACAAATGTGACTATCTGCAGCCCTCACTCACTGGTGAAATAACTACTCGTGGTCGAGAGAAAACGCTTACACAGCTTCGCGCATCTGGGGTTTTCGAGTCTAGAATCAAAAAGGTAACTGCGTACATGGAGTCTTGCAGACCTCAGCCTTCCACAAAGTGCAGGGGATGCCAGCGACAGTTCCACTTGCTTCTTGTGAATCCGTGTGGCCATCTGAGCTGCTCTGGCTGTACGGAAAAGCGTTACCAAGAGGCAGGAGCAGCGAGCTGTTGTTTGTGTCATGCACCGTATTCTCGAGAGGGGTTTAAGCATCTACAACCAGGGATTCACGCTGAGCCGCTTGAAGAAAATGATCAAACACTGAAAAAGAAGAAGAAAATGAAAAACAAGAAGCGAAAGCGATCTGATTCATTCTCCAAGAAACCAGCCAGGCCTGTGAACTGCAAGCGAGATTTTTGGCGGATCAAATCCAGCAAGATTTTTTACGTGGCTGCTCGAATTCGGGAGTTGATCAAGGAATGCGAGCATCTTCCACGAGAGCGGCAACACGAGTTCAAAGCGATCGTGTTTTCGCAGAGCATTTGGCGAGCTAAAGTTGCTCTTGAGAAGCAGGATATCCGCACCGCCGATTTTATTCCAAGGATCAATCTTCGCGATCGAATCAAGAATTTAGAGGCATTCCGCTCGCAACCAGATGTACACGTTCTTTTGCTGTCTAATCATGGATCCCACGGCTTGGACTTGTCGTTCGTCACGCACATGTCCCTGTTGGAAGAGATTTGGGATAAATCATTGGAACAGCAAGTTATCAGTCGAGCTAATCCGATGGGAGCCAAAGAGACTCTTACGGTGGAGCTGTAAATTGGGCGGTGTGGTAAAAAGTGAGTCCTCGATTGAAAATATTTTCAAATCGAGTCCCAGATTGGAAATTTCCCTTAAAAAAATAAAAGTGTGATTCGGTTCTGTATTGTTGCATCATCACTACCGCTATACTGGCGTCTACTTGGTCTTCTCTAGGAATGCTTGGCAGAGTGTACGACCTGATGATTGGCGAGAAGCGCACCGTAATGTCGCGAAGATAGTCGAAGCCTGGCAATGAGAGAATAAGTAATCATCTGAAGAACGTGGGGGTCAGCCTCACTGTTCTTACCAGAGGGAATAGTAAGCTTGTAGTTCCATAGAAGTGTACGATCTTGCGAATAAATGCCATATAGCTACATTGCCAGGATCATGTGAGGTGAAAACAAACCACTCGGCAACAACACAAAATCGCACCAGTTGTTCACGACTAGACCGCACGCGCTAGTGCTGGGTGTCAGACCAGCGGGAAATGTGATGGGGCTACCAAAAATCCCACAAAATGGCGGTCACAATAGAGAATACAACGCACTAATAGTAAAACGTAGTACCATAACGATCGACTGCAGCAACAGAGACTGATGCCCAGGCGGAAGCTCGAATAAACGACAGCACCAATCACCATAGAAGTCATTACTACTAAAACGACGATGGTCTGTAGGGAGAATCATAAGCACCAATATAAATAAATAAGTACTGCAATCCGTGCAAGCCATGCATGCCCTTGCGCAAAGTAACACTTACGTACTTGTTTGTGGTTGCGCAGCTTGAACTCTAGAGATACCACCATGAAAAGTAGAAGCAACTGTGGCAGAATAAGCAGAAAAGCTCGCGCAGCATCGCTGCTGCGGGTCATCGCGGCAATGAACTCCCATCCGCAAGCCACCACCGCCATCTAAACCCAAGAAAGTGAATATAATTTCAAGCTGTCAAGTACGCAAATTGGTTGTACGTTTACCGTCACTGTCCGCAAAGACACTAGAAGCACCTGCTCGTTATACTGGGTCGCTGCGCTACCGTGACCGCCAGTAGTCAAGCACAATAGCTTCAACATTTGCTCTTCTTCGTTAAGGAAAATAAAAAAAGTCGAGTTAAAGTCCTTTTTTTCTTATTTGGTCTCACAATTTTTTTTGAAATGTAAAAGTTAAGCGTCATCGTGCAAAAATCAGCTCCGAGCAAACGAAATTGTGCTTTTCACCTACGGGTCGTGATCCTCAATAATGATGTTGTGTTTCTCCCGCATCCATGTCATCGCGTGACGATCGTCTGGCTCAGTAACGACAGCCAAAACCGGCTGATCATAGTCTTGAGTATCGTAAATGTTGGGGAAATGCTCATCCAAAAAGAGCAAGATGTCGAACTGATCAGGAGGTTTGATCTGCAGAGTGTCAATCGAGGGATTCCACTTTGGATATCGCGCGTGCAGCCACCAGGCAACGCGCAAGTGACTGTTCTGCATTGCCTTCTCGAAAGCCTTAACAGTGCATCCCTCGGATCGATTCACATAGAGCCACTTGACCACCTTCAAGTAACCATTCGCCGCCGCCAAGTCCATTGCATTCGTCGTACAGCCTTCCGATCGATTCCGATGAAGCCATTCCACCATCTCAAGGTGGCCATTACCAGCTGCTCGGTCCATGGCTCTCGTGGTACAGCCTTCGGTTCTATTGGCATGAAGCCACTTAACCACGTCAAGATGTCCATTTCCCGCTGCACTGTTCATCGCTAGTGAAGTGCATCCGTCAGAGCGAGTCTCATGTAGCCATTTCACTGTATCTAAGTGGCCGTTTGTAGCAGCGACATCAATCGCATGGCGAAATGGAGGCAAAAACTCACGATCGCCAGACGAAATATTGTGGTGGAAGAACTGCAGGATGCTAATGCGTCGATGTCTCGCAGCTTCTTCAACCATGAAGCCGTAGGTGTGGAAGTCATGGGTGTCAAGTAGCCATTTCAGTGTGTCTAAATGATTGTTACGAACAGCCAGGACAGCGGCGTCTTTAAAGTTGTCCGAGTATCCTTGTTCGTGGAGATATTTCATCACAGCGAGGTGTCCTCCCTCCGCAGCTAAACAGAAGAAATGCTCAGGTCCTGCACTGTGATGATGCTGATATGCCTCGGCAACACGCAGTCCGACGGGATGTTCCATCAACCATTTGACCACTGAAACATCTCCAAATTTGCAGGCCTCTTTAGTAGCGAAGAACCACTCACTAGACCAGTCGAATCGAGGTCGAGCACGAGGAGGAGAGTGAAGCTGCACAATCCGGTGCATGAGATCCAGTCTCCCCACTCTTGCCAACATGTAGATAGACACAGCAGCACAGTGTTCGTCTAGACGGGTATATCCCTCTTCAAGTAGTGTCTCTACCACTTCCGGGTCTGGATCATCGTGCGAAAATTCCACAATGGATCTCCCTTGTGGCAAGAAAAACCTGGCCAGCTCCATATCAGGAACTCGAAGAGAATATTCAACCGCCCAGCGAATTTCATCATTGTCCATCTTGTGTGGCGAGTTTTGGCAAAGCCACTTGGCAATCTCAACGTGTTTTTGCTCGATGGAGTGCAGCATGCTGCGACCGCCCCAATGCACCACGATGCCTTCTCCTTGCTCCTCATCTGAAATCTCAGGGACACTTTGGTGCGGGACGATGCCGCCAGTCACTACCATTGGCATGTGGCTGTGGGGATAGTGCCGTCCAGCGTCATTTTCCAGCAAAAACTTTAAAATTGGCAGATGCCCTTTTTTAGCCGCTGCTTCTACCACACCCACGGGAACGAAACAATTGGAAAAGTGACCGAACAGCCACTTCATCATGTCCACATTGCCACATTCGGCTGCCACTTCCGCTGATTTCCGAAATTGCCACAAGTAATACTGGCGTTCGGATCGAAGGTAGTTGTTAAGGGTCCAATTAGGAGCCCTCGTATCGGGGGAGGTACAACTGGAGGCCCAAATCCAGTTCAGCAGCTGGAGAGAGTTGAAGCGACAGGCATAGCTCAGTGACAGCGTCGGTGAAGGGCCCAAGAAGCTGGAGATGACGGAGCCGAGATGCTCCAGCCTGTGGGAGTTGGCCTGTTCGTGCAGAACCAGTCGAACACTTACTAGTTGATGTACTAGTTGTGGCAACATGTTGATATCGACGGAGCCAAAAACGATGAATGATTCACAAGTAATGATTGGCTTTTGCGAAGTGTATACTTCAGTTCGAAGTATACACTATATTTTCAAATTCTCAAATTTCGTTTATCAAAATATAAAGTTTTCTCGGTTTATTGTTTCGAAATGTTACAGTAGTGGCCGGTGGATGTCCAATACGCTGAAATTATTTGGCTCAATCAGATAATTTCAGCGTAAACTATTTTCAGTATTTTTCACGGCCTACAGCTAATTCCGAGATGGCTGCACCGTTCCAACTCCGAGTCGTGGCGCTTGTCCTGCGGCCTCTTTCACCCGTCGCAGCGCTTCCCCACATTGGAGTGCTCGTCTCGAGCTTCCTCGGTCCGTCGTCATGCCTCTCGCTGTCTGAAGCCTGCGTGTTTGGTTCGATTCAACTGCTCGACTGGATTTGGGAATCCAGTCGCACTTCCGTCAACGACAGGAACCCCGGGTGGTCTCTGACCAATTATCTCCGCTCCGAGCCATTCTACCACCAGTGGCAGTTTCGAGAGGGACTGCAGAATGCTGCTCGTCGTGGGGATGTGGACATGGTCAAGTGGTTCTTCGACCATTGTTCAGGTCTGGAAGTTCCCTCGGAGGTCGTCACAGTAGCTGCAGAAAATGGACATTTGCCAGTGCTACAATTTCTACTTGAGAACGACCAAGGCCGCAACTGTAAACACGAGAAGAAGCTCGTGGAGCTGGAGGAAGATACGTGGGAGGACAGTGTACCGGTCATGCCAGAGGACTGGACTGGTCCTGGTAACGTGGTGAGGTGGGGAGGCCATGCCACACGTGAAGCTGTACGGAACAAACACTTTAACGTTGTTCAATGGCTGGACCAGCATGCACCTCATCAAAATAGTGAGGAAGAGACGAACGATATTATTTCAGTTGCAGCCAATGGAGGCATGGTTGCATTTGCAGAGTCCATACTACCTGAAGGTGCCAGAGTGGTGGAATATCTGCGCGACAGAGCACAATCCGATGCCATTCAGGTGCTACTTGACAGTAATTTAGTTCGAGGAAACCAGGAAGCATCAGCCACTGCGATTTATACCTTAGCTCGTGAAGGCAATTTGGACATGATGAAGCAAGTTGCAAAGCTGCACAGTAGAAAACGAATGAGCCAAGCGTGGATCACACGATGGGAGTGGGGCATGTCAGCTGCTTGCGAGCGTGGAGACTTGGCTATGGTCAAGTGGATGTCTGAAGATCGAGCTGGTAAAGAAGCACTCCGGCGCTCCAATGACAAAATGCTGTTCGTCACTACGGACATTCTTCAAAATGCTGCTAAAAACGGTCATATTGATGTTCTGGAGTACCTGTTTCAGATAGGTTGGGCTGATACAGATGCATCTACTCTGATTGACGCAGCTCGTGGAGGTCGGTTGGAGTGTGTCAAGTGGCTGCTGGAGAATGTGCCGCCTTACGACGAAGACAACTCAACCTCATCTGCTGTAGTAGCCGCTGCTGGAAAGGGTCACTTGGCCATACTGCAATTCTTTCACGATATGGACACGGCAGCATCTAATGGACCTAAATGTAGGCGAGTCGAGCAGAGTATTGAATGGTGGATTGAGGCCGACAAAGCAATGGACAAAGCCGCAGCTAACGGGCAACTCGAGGTGCTAAAGTGGATTCATAGCCATCGATATAATGGCTGCAGCGAGAGCGCTATGGAAGACGCTGCACGTAATGGTCACCTAGAAACACTTAAGTGGCTTCATACCAATACGACTGCTGGCTGTACGGCAAGCGCAATGGATTATGCCGCGTTTAAAGGCCACTTGGACGTGTGCAAGTGGCTACATGTGAACAGATCAGAGGGATGTACTGAGGACGCTGTCAGATATGCCATCGGTAATGGCCACTTGCGGGTTGCGTTTTGGCTTTCGATGCACTATCCGCAGTACATCCCTGAACACAACAGACTGTGGAAATACCCTTCGAACACATTCGATATGTTGCTGTTCCTACAAGTGAAATACCCCACTCTTTTCAGCCTCGAATTTGGACGTGGCACCAAGAGCGATCTATTGTATGAAAACAAGAGGGGAGGCGATTCCCTAATTGCGCAATGGCTAAATCAAAAGTTCCCAGGGCACCCCAAGGAAAGACACCAGCTTGTCTTGTGGCCGCTAATGTAGCCACTGACTCTGTTTGTCGACAGGACACTGTTACTAGCAGATTTACACGTAACCTTGAGGTAGACCATTACTATGAAGTATATAAAAAAATTATCTACGAGCGTTGCTTTTTTCGTTGCTTTTGAAAGTATTATTCTGCCTTACTTTAGAACCAACGCAAACCCACGAGGACGGCTTTGCTAACATTCGACTTACGTGGACCGCGCGCGGTTCAAAGGATCATTCACTGAGTGTTCGTATCGTATGCTTGAGGAATGAGTAACATTCTTCCAAAATGATAGATGATAGAAAGGAGCGTGGGATGAGGTGTGTTTGAAAGAACACCAAGCTGTTTCGTTGGTCGATCTCGACGCTTTTTCTTCCTTCGTTGTTGAGAGGCAAGTTGTGAACGATGGGCCGTCATTATCTCAAGGCTCGTGACTAATCGTACTATACATTGTGTACTTCCGCATTCGCACATAACTCGCCTAAATCGAGCGCTCTCTTTTTATAAATTCTATTCATACGGAAAAAAACTATGAGGATGAAATATTACTACACACTCGGGAATGAGCTTTCTAACTGAAGCAGGACAATTAGATGGGTGAAAGACTCATGTGGACCATGGAGAGGAATACGCCCTCTGGTTCGCTGTTGGTGTTCAAGAGGGCCGTACCCACATCTTACAGTGAGCATCTCGCAGAAAAAATCGACGCGGCTGTGTTACGAGCAGCCATGGCAGGCCGATTGGATGCAGTCAAGTGGCTTACTGAGCGCTGCGCGTTCTGTAATTTCAGTCAAATTATTGAAATGACTGCCAAGCAAGGGCAGTAGGAGGTCCTGTAGTAGTTCAGTGGCATAAAACGAAAAAAAATGGCCCAGAGGCATAGTCTACCAGGATTATGGATGTAGCTGCTGAGCATGGCCATCAAGTGGTTGCATGCCAATCGGTCGGAGGGATGCACGGTCGAAGCGATGATTGACGCCGCAGAGAGCAGTCACTTGAGAGTTGTCATCTAGCTCCTTGGTGTTTGTCCTGCGTTTGTTCCTTCGCAGCCGGGTATGGTCATCAAACCAACAAACCAGTTTGAAATAGTGTTGTTCCTCCACGTTGTGTACCCCCACATCTTCAGCAACGAAAGTGACAAGAGACCAATCTTCGGTGTTGTCGTAGAGCCTAACGACGAGCATGTCAAAGCCTGGATGCAGACGCAGTATTCCGAGGCGTCTATTCTGACTAACAGAGGTACGGGTGAAAGATGAGTACTAAAAAATGTTTAAATTAAGTACGTAAGTAGGCTGTGAGCGTTCTTGGTCAAATGAGTTTAACTTACACTATAACCTAATTGATCACTCAAAATTATTACCGTGAATTTTATAAATCTGAAGTGCTAAAGAATTTTGTATCCACTTGTTCGAAAAGGTGCCTGATGAATTCTAGGAACGATATTTCTGAATTTACGGGGGAAATGTTCTCTTCAAAGTAGCATTTCGAAGAATTTAAATTATTAAGTAAATACTTTTAAAGTAATAATCTTAAAATTGGAGATGAGTTGTTAGAAAAATTGTCTGTGGGCTCCCTTCAATTTTATATACATATACCAGCGCCTTGATGTGTTATTTATCAGTCGATGTCGGTCATACCGTTGTAGAGGAAAAGCCGACTTATCATCTATCGAAGTCGGGGAATCGCGAAACAATAGCTGAACTGCGTAACGGTGGGACATTATTCACCACAAGCAGCATGAGGCTTTAACACTCTCTTGCAAGACAAATACACAGGGGGCTATAGAACGCTGGCTTGTCATTCTGGTCATTCTGTGCGCACTGTGACTTAGCGCTCATTTGCTACTCAAAACGGATTGATCGACCATTGTCTCCCAGTATCGTTACACGGTCCGAAACTCTAGCTCATCGTGAGATATTCCCAACAAACCAGGGGTACGTGAATGGTTCCTACCTCGCTGCTTGCAGCATAAGTACAAACGCAAATGTTCTCTGTCAGGATTCTCCAGGGGCGGTGGTTTCGTGGTGATCGGTGTCCTTCGGACAATGCCCCTTTTTGGGAAGTGTACAGTAAAACTTATGTGAAGTGAAAATAAGTGCACTCAGAATTATTCCAGTCGTGTTTAGACGCCATCTCCAACAAATGCAGAGTGGAAATCCTCAAAATACCAGCTACTTCGGTGAGCTTCAGTGTGGCACGGTAGCTAAAGGTTCAATATCGATATATTGGCACATAGATACACCAAATGAGTATGAACCCCCATCGCGAGGGTTTCCCAGGAAGTTGTTAAAAATGTACGTCTCTAACCTATTTTTGCTTCATCAATCCGACAACCAACAGCAGTTTTTGCGACTTTGCTTTGAAATTCATTGTTTATGGATAGATTCAGATTGGTGCTATTGATTATCTTATCGCGACGAGTTGACCAAGCTGATTCTCCTGTAATGTCGATATGCATGTATTCAGGTCATCGGATGGTGTTGGCTATGACTGTAGATAAGCGACAACCTTGTGCCATAATATAAATATATCGATATATTGCGAACTTTGCTTACTGTTAATCTAAATGTAACAAGAGAATACGAAGCCGAAATTGAGCGAATTGCTATTGTTTCAATGTTTTACGATGGTCTTTATTGTATTTTGAGAGCCACGTACACGTCGGTAGTGTCAGGTGCAGAATCAGATTTGAGCAAACAGCTGCTGGCCCCAATACAGTTCGGTAATTCTTCGACTGTAAGTATCTGAGATCCTAACAGTAAATAAAATTGTATTGAATAATTAAAATACGTCATACCATTTAAAGAAAGACGCTTTGAATGGCACATGACACAACACTATGAGACGTAACTGGTAAAAACAACGTTATGGGATCTTCAGTTTGTAACCCTATAAAAGGAACAATTGAAATTTTTGATTTGAATATTCTGCTAAATCTGAAACTGTACAGTTTATTTTTGATAATAGCAGTACATTCAAATCTGCTTCCCTATCCTCATGGTACACGTTCTGTACGTATCTTCCTAACAGGAAGATAGGAAGGCAATGCAGATCATCATTCAACACATTGTCGTTTACAGAGAAAGGAATCGCCACAGCCTTAGCGTCTACTTCTAGTAGAGCTTAGGCAGCACAGTATTTGCAATTTGTGATATTCGAGGAAAAAACAAAGATGGATGTCTACGTTAAACACATTCGAAAATGGCCCAACACTATTGATAGTGAATTCTACTCTATATGCATTGAACTGTACAATCCTGGACCACCGAACAAAAAAAATCTTCAGTTTCATGCAAATGGCCCACGGCTAATTAATACATTTTGATGCACCCACGCTGGCTATGTGTAGCTGACTGCAGCTTTGCTCAGGTTCGACAACAACAACAAATCGTGTCACTAACTAATTGGGCTACTTGTTTTCAGAAGCCTAACAATAATTGCGCGTCCAGGGTATTAGGATTGGGCGGCTTCAAAAGTTAGGATTTTAGACAAAAATCTAAAATTTGAATCTGTGTCGTCACTTTTTACACGGATGTTTATCTCACCAACATTATTCATCGGACCAGCGAACGGTATGGTTAAGTACCTATATGTACCGTACAAGTGTCTACTTTCTCCAAAAAGCATCAATGAGGCTGAGCGGCTCAGTGATAGCTGCAAAAGCAACAACGTCCATCCCCGTCAGCCCCGTATACTTATCAACCCATCATTGAACAAATCTCATCCCTAAACCTACATAGCAATGTGTGGACGACTAACCTCTCGTAGCACATACCCTGCTCACTCCTCAACTTACCGCTTGTTACGCAGACCTAAGCCAGCGATTCAGCAAGAGCAATGCGTTTCAGTCTCTTCCTAGTTGCGCTTGTGGCCACTTGCGTCGGCTACAGCAGCAACCTCGTCCTGGCTGAAAAAAGAACCTTGGCAGCCGACTCGATTCATACCAACTTCCGCCGTGAAAGCGTGAGCATTGAGAGGAAGCTGACGATCGAGGCTGCATTCGACGTGGATGATGAAGAGAGGGTACTCGAAAGACTGAAGGGCGTCTTTCAAAGGGCTACTCAGAGCGTTAAGCTATTCCAGAGGAACCCTGCGGCGATCAAAGAAGTGGAGAATTTGAAGAATAGTCCTGTGGTCGCTCAAAGCATTCAGAGTGTCAAGAAGAACCCGGTGATGGTGGAGAGGCTCAATTCGCTAAAGCAGAACCCCCAAATCCTCAAGTCGTTACAGGACCAGCCCGCCGGACAAAGTATCACCAAACTGCAGACGTTCGTAACGGGAAGCAAGGCGAAGTCCGATGGACCGAGTTTCATCGTGTGCTTCTTGTTGATCATGGGCGGATTTACTGCCACTCTTCTCTTGGTAAACCTTATCACTCAAGTCTAGAAAACTATGTCGCTCATGGCAACGTGCCTGCCCACCAACAAAACGATGATATTAACCCAGCAAATAAGCCGAACGTCTCCAGATTGTGGATTCATTTTCACTGTCGTTGAAATTGATTACATTTTTATTGTCTACAAGATGAGAATTGATATTTTCATCAGAGGTATCGCGAAAGATGATGCAACACTCTCGCCGAAACTGCAATTGCGTCGTTGTAGCCAGCCTAGCCATCATTGTTCTAAGGGACGACAAGCTTAACCGAATGGTGGTCATCCAGCTGAGGCCCAAGTTGGAAATGCACATTTTAAAAATGTAACTACGATGTGCGTTTGATTTCGGGTAAGATGAAAAATTTCTTATAAGTCAGCTTGCCGTAAGTCAAAGAGAGCTAATTTTAGACTAGCCATTTTTTTTTAACTCTCGACTGGTCACCTTTCAAAATGATGTTTCAACCAGTTACGTTTTGTGATTTCCACTACATGTAGGCACAAGTAGCTAACCAACAAGCAACAGTAACTGTTGAAAATGGAAAAAGAGGCACAAGAATAATACTCGACAAGTCACTCAGAAGTGACAACTGAAACACAAAAAGTAACTAGTCGAGAATTCAATTTCATTTCAAAAATGAATTACTGAAACTTGGGTTTTCTTCCGATCGGAAATTCTGTCTACTTTTACGGTAGACAAAAATTCTCATCGTAATTTAGTTGTTTCTCACAGCACTACTATTGAAATTATATTTACGTACCTTTTCGTCAATAAGGCATGTAATTCAGCATACATCCGGGCTCTAGTTGAGTGCTAAGACTTTTTGTTCACTGAAATTTAATCTAGAGCTTTGGATGCATCTGACAAGGGGTATGATTTCCAGGAATTAAACCTGATATTTAGTAAATCTGACGATGATCAAAACAAAAAAAGGGTCAAATGCAAACTTAAAGTGATGCAAGCATAGGGAATACTCAACAAACCAATAATCTTATAAATTCCATGCGTCATTCGAACCGTCTACCTCAGCCAGGTACGGTAATATTTAAAGACGTACAAGGTTTAAAGCTCTTGAGCAGCACTAGCGTAGGCGTTGACAACAGTCTTCGGCGCCTCGAGATGTATTTGAGTGGTAGTTAGGAGCTTTTCTTCTCTCTCTCTCTCTGTGTTTTACTTGAGTCTGAGAAGTTTCTATTCTCAAACCCTGTCTCATAATTCTTCGTTGAGGTCGACCATTTTCTCTTACTCTCTTCTCGGCATCAACTTGGGGTCGTTAATAGTCGGAGTCTGCATATCATCATTACTTGCATACACAGATCAGCACCATTAGATATCTTTCCTCTCATACCACTCATACTATCCCTTTTTATCAAACACATGCATGTTCCAACACACAAGCAGATTTGGTCTTTAACTTCTTCCAGTTGCTAAGTCCTTGCTGCCAAATCCTCATGCCACATACGTGGCGCTCACAGCCTCGTCGGTTTCATCTTAGCTCGGGCTCTCTTCTTAAAGCGAACTGGGATTCCTCGACGGTCCTTCTGTTTTTGTCTGGCACTCTCTGCCCTGGATTCGTCGGCTTCGGGGCTGTATTCATCCCTAACACTCTGTTCCTCTCTCTTCAGATTTTGCAGTAATAGCGTGGCTTGCTTCCGCGTCCATACGCGCGGTGCGTACTCCCATCGTTTCTCTGTGGCCTTGAAACGCTTCCTGTGGAAGTGGTTTCGTCATCATATCGGCCACATTCGCTTTTGATGCAACGGGTTCTAGTTTTACTCCCCGCTTTTTCACGTACTCGCGAATCTTGAGGTCACTGATATTAAGCTGCTTGGTCCTTCGATGCTTTCCAGCATGCTTCATTAATTCACGAGCACTACTTGAGTCACAATACAGTGTCGTAGCATCTCTCTCCAAGCCTAGCTCATCCACTAGTTGCTCCAGCCAAATTGCTTCATTCATCCCAGTATTCGCTGCAATCAGCTCAGCCTCACAAGTACTTTCAGCAAGGATGTCTTGTTTCCAACATCTCGCCGAGATGAGTTGTCCGTTACAAAACACGGTAAGCCCTGTTACCGACTTCATATCTCCTCCTTCCGAGGCGAAATTAGCATCAGTATAGACCTCGATCTTCAATTTGTCAAATTGGCGTGCCACCTCAAAGTTAAATTGCAATCCCATGTCTTGTGTACCAATCAAGTACCTCAAAACACGCTTTGCTGCTCGCCAATGCGGTACAGCGAACAAATACTGTAGGCACCCAACAAGACTTCGGTACGGCAGCTTCACGCTTTTCTCGTGCTCTTCGGGGCCGGCGTCTGCCAATTTTACCCCATCCACAGTCATCGGAATGCGCACTGGATATGCTGACTCCATGTTGAATTTTACCATGATGTCCTGGATGTACTTCGTTTGCCTGAACGATACGTGAGTCTCTGGATCATAGTGGATCTGAAGTCCCAAAAGATAGTTAACTTCACCGAGACACTTCATCTTAAATCGTTCCGTCAGTTCCGTATCTACGAAGTCCACATCCTTTTCCTTACCAACAAGTAGAATATCATCTACATAGATTGGCAGAAGGACAAGTCTGCCCTCAATCCGAATCCAGTACAGTCCTTCGTCCTTGCAGCTCTGACGAAAGCCAAACTCAATCAGCACAAGATGTAGCGTGTTATTCCAGTTACGTGGTGATTGCCGTAATCCATAGATACTCTTCTTTAGAAGACACACCCAGTCTTCATATCCACGCTTTACAAAACCTTCAGGTTGCTCCATAAAAATGATACGTTCAGTTGGTGCGTTTAGGAAGGCAGTCACAAAATCAAACTGCTTCACTACCGCTTTCGTTAACCCAGCCCACAGGAAGACAAGTCTTAGCGTCTCAAATCTCACAATTGGGGCGAACGTTTCATCAAAATCAATACCCCATATCTGGAAACAACTCATTACCACCAAGCGAGCCTTAAACCGCAGCATCCTTATCTCATTCTCTTTCAAAGTCCATACCCATTTACTTCTCAGGATGTGCGCGTTCTTTGGTCTTGGTACTAGTATCCACGTCTCGTTTTCTAGCTGAGCCAAGAATTCCTCCTTCGTGGCTTCAAGCCATTTCACCTGTTGGGGTGAAGCCATCATCTCATTCCAGGTCATTGGTACTTTGACCTTCATAGTAGCAGTAGCCGAGGCCGATGAGCTGAAGACCGTGGACACAAAATCTTCCAGGCGTGTCGACTTCTTGCGAGCGCGATTGGACTGTCGTGGAGTTTTCACTTCGACAGGTAAATGTCGTTTCCGACGTGGCGGAGGTTTATCTTCAACACTCTCTTCTGAATCTGATGTCTGTGTAGACCCATTCTCCTTTTGCACCAGATCACCACTATTTCATCAATTTCTCTTCCTTGGCCACTCAACATGTCGTTATCCTGACCCTCACGCTGCTCACATACTGCCACTATCGATAGGGGTACCAGCGGAAGCTTCGTGCAGTCCACTGATGGACGTCTTCTCATTCGATACACTTCATTGAGTAGCTTCTCCACGTACCACCTATCTACGGTAGTCTCTTCGTAGAACTTCACATTTTCATGCCGATATTCACTAATCACACCCGTCGTCAAGTCTAATAGTCTATAGCCTTTTGTCTGCGTAGCATATCCGACCATCAGACTAGGTGCACCTTTCACCGACAGCTTGTCCTTACGATAGGCCTTGTCAACGAACTTAACAGCGAGGCATCCAAAGGGTTTAAGGTGGCGTACACTCGGTTTTGATCCAAACATCTTTTCATGAGGTGTCACCTTTTCTGCATTGCCCTTGGAACTGGTTCTGTTGATAGTCTCGATTACGTATCTAGCCGCTTCTCCCCACAGCATTCCGGGAAGACCACAGCTAAACAACACTGAGCGAACTTTATCCATCAGGGCACCATGTGCTTTCTCAATCAAGCATACCTCCTCGGGCGAATGTGGGTGAGAGAAAATTTGTATAGTCTCGCCAGCACACATTTCTTTCATTGCTTGGTTCAAGAACTCCGTGCCTTGATCAGAATGAAACGTCTTCACGACAGTCTGATGTTTGGCACGTACCATATCTCGGAAGCACTTTAAATTGTTCACAGTTTCCTCCTTAGTTTTCTGCCCGTATACCCACTGATA